CCACTAGGCCAAATTTCCCATGGTTCCTTCCTAACTGCCTTATTTTTCATATACAGTCAGCTCCCTGCAACTTATACTGCCTGTATCTGCAAGCACTTACAGTCCAGTGATCTTGAAAGTCATTTCCTTCCATGTCTTCAAGCGATCCCAGAAGACCCACATTTGCTAGAAAGAAATCATCGGGTTAGTGGTGTTTGAGGCCGGACAGTGCTGGGGTGTATTTACCTGCTTGCAGGTACTTGCTGTAGCCAGGCAACCACTTCTGCAGCTGACATTCATAGCCCTCGCTCCATCACTCTAACCACCCCAGTGTACCCACCCTGCTGATCTCTATTAATAGCGCGCACGTGTGTGCACTAAGTATCTGTAGCTGCTCAAGAGCTACAAGAATGTGGCATGCTGGCAGGGGAGAGCTTGATCCAAGGAGGTCGCAAACGTCTGGTGCCCTGTGAGAAAACAAGAAAGGTTTCTCAACTAAGTCTCAAAACCAATGTTTTATTGCATCGTCCCACCAACAAGGGTTGGTGAGAGGGCTGGAAGATGAAATAGTTAACTGAGCTATCACTCTGCAGAAGTTGTTGGTGGAGAAGGAGGCAGCAGCTCGACCCATCTATCCTCATGTGTCTCCCACTGCTATCAGATATCGCCTCCCATAAGCTTGTGCTCGGAGCACGGAGACGAGAATTGCTATTGACAGAAGTACCCCGCAGACAAGGTCCTCTGCTGCAAAGCTGCTAGCGTCTTGCGTGGTGGAAAACTATTTTAAATGACAACAGAACGCTAATGTTATGGAAAGATCTTGTTGTATATAGTTTTCAGGATTAGTGGGAGGAGAAAACAAAAGTACAGCCTGCCTTGACAAATATTGTCGGACATTTCAGTGCTCTATCTTCCGGTGCTGATTTGGGCAAACACTTCCAGGGCATCAGGGAATGTTGTCATTGATAAAGGCTAACCATGGGAAATGGCCGTTTCAAAGCCATGGCCAACAACAACGTGACCATGTAATGCATGGCCACCCACAAAGTTAATAAGCATTTGCATCCTACAGCATTAACCATCGCTCTCAGTCGTCCAAAAATAAAACCCCAGTGAACAATTCTGCAGTGGTACAGGCAGGATTATTAAAGCATTATTTGAGAAAGAGCAAGGAGAAGGTAGCATGTCATCAGAATTTGGCATCACTAGTTTGATTTACTGTTGAAGACTCTTTGTATTTTGAGATCACAAACCCCAAAACAAAGCTTAATCTTCACTTCAGCACCACAGTTCCCTCCCTTATCACATTATCTGAGTACATCACACTCTAATTATAGTTATCTGAACAACACTTAGTGAGATTGGGAAGTACTAACCTTGTCAGAGAAGCCCTTGAACACAGAGTAAAACTGAGTCAGAAACAATTTTTAGTTTTTAAATGCCAGCTAAGTACACTGCAACTGGTGGGAAAAAAAGTGTTCTTACACCATCAGCAACACTTCAGAAAATTTGCCTCTTCATTATCATTAACCCAGATCCTGAAGTCCTGGCTCAAAATTCAAAACAAAGTTGTTATTATTATGAGGGAAAAATGCATTATAATATTTATATTTCTAAAAGCATCATTTAAAACATACCAGTAATCATTCAAAGAAAGAAGTAATACTTGGAGCATCTCAGTGGGATATTATGTTTTACTCTCAAGAGGTATCCAGAAGTGCTTCTCAGTGTTTTAGTATCTGTTAGGCAGTGATTGCATTTTATTTATCTCTCTCTAGTGGATACAGAAGTAGAAGCTAAATATTCCGTCTTCCTCTCCAAAGTATATAAGGGACTGTATCCTCATACTCAAGGAGAAGAAGAAAAGTCTCTCTTCCACTTCACACCTGGGTGTGGAGAACAGCCCATGGGTGTCCTACTACGCATGGCCACGTCTGTCTACTCATCTCTTCAGGGCATCCTCTGCGAAGCCTTTGAGAAGAGCTTCAGGGACTTCAAGCCTTGTGCAGCTGTTGTAGGACAGTTGTCACCACATTTAACCAAGGTGTTTTCTTTTCTGTTACCTCCTCCATTTCATGGCTTTTGTTCTTTTGCATTGTTCCATGCTAGGGCATGGAACCAGGTATTTCACCAAATCTCAGTTTTGTTTTGGTTTTGTGCTTAAGCGTAAGTCAGGCTCTGCTGTCGTGCATTTAAAGCTGGCCATGGCTTCAGCAGCTTCACCCAGCTGGTTTTCGTTTTTTCCCAAATCTGAGTTTCAAAGTCCATCATTGTGAAAAAGAGGTTTTGTTACATTTCCTAACAAGACTTTGGATTAAAGGACTGTGGATTAAAAGGGCCCTCAATGCCCTGTAGATAACCAGAGTTCTTGATACCAACTTCAAGCCTCACTGAGAGTTTAATAAGCTGCTGCTGAGTTATATGACACTTGTTAAGTTTATGGAAAAAAATTATCCCGTCTGCTGCGGTTATTTGCTATCAAATACCATAGGTGGTTGAGAGGACCCTGAACCATCATAGATATATGATCTGAACTACAAAAAAAATACTATGAAGAATATTTTATATTCCCAGGCTTTGATACAGGTCCAAATTTTACAGTCATTTGCCATTTCTATGAAAAGTTGGCCAGAATGACCAATCTCAGTATTCCTAAAAGGAAATAGAAAGGAACTCACAAAGTCATCTAGAATTTTCTGTTTCGGCTAATTATCCTCTTTTTTTTCACTTCTGCTAGACTTGCTAATACCTTTTTGAGTGAAAAGCTCCAGCTATAAGCACCAGGAAATGAAATGAAATGAAAGAGGAAAAGTCCAGACACTGGCAACACCACCCATCCCGTGCTGCTGACGTGTTTCAGCCCAGTGGTGGAAGCGGTGGCCCCACCTCAGAGAAAGTTCTGCTGAGGACCCCATTTCATTCAGAAGTTTAAGAACATGATGTCATTCCACAGAGGCCAAACCCCTCCATCCGTCCGTCAGTGCTGCAAACACAAGAGGCTTGGGGAACGTTTCCGTCTTGCAGACTTCTTGTCTCTCCACTGAGTTTCTGGCAGTGGGACAGTTACGTGGGCTGTCACCCGCACCCGTGCTCTGTGAGGGTGCAAGTGCACAGAGCAGCCGCTGGTGAACCGAGCTCTCTCCTTCATGCAACTGCCTGTTTGCACAGAAGCTGGGAACTCGGTTACCGCTGATACTTTACTTTTGTACTGGATGAATTCACAGAGCTACACTGAAAGGTATTGGAGAAGGACACACAGACTGAGATGGCCCCACCTATGCACACACAAGCACAGTCACTGCAAAGCCGATTTCCATGGGAGAACTGCAAAGCCAATTTCCAAGGGAAATTAGGGTGGGAAGATTATTTAGATTTTGTTTTTCCTTAATGAATAGGAGAGGATAAAAACTATACTCTGAACGTATTTCCTCTAAATTGGCACACCATAATGAAAAGACTCAAAGAAATGACCATCCAGTCTCAGAGGCCCTGTTATGCTGGGAGTGATTTACTTTCATTGCGTAAACTGCTGTACAAATGAGCACTGGGATCTTTAAAATCTGAATTATGGATTGCTTTGCTGGAGAGCCATCAGGAGCAAGGAACCAGCTGATGGCAAAGAGAGGGATGCGTGAGCAAACATGCTCAACAGGAGCAGTCCCCACTGAGGTGCTCTCGTCCCCTGGCAGGCAGGACAGGTGTGTCACTTCCAGATGTGACACGAGCCACTTGCTTCTTGTTCACAGCCTTTGAAGTGCTGTGCAGAGAGAGCCTGAGCCGTTACCGCAGTTAGAGTAGATACATCATTTACTGGAAGAATTAAATGCGCTGTAGTAGCAAACCTGCAGTTGACACTCACAGGGTGCAATTGAAATCCTCTGGATTAGTAATTCTTTTGAGATCTTTGTAATCATTGGTAATAGGTAGTGAAATAAATCCACATTTATATCCTACAGACTGCAGCTGTGCTTCTGTTAAAGTAGTATTAACTGATGGGTTTTAAATCCTTCTGCCAGCTCGAACTGTAAGCACCGAAACTCCTGTGCAGAGGATAACTCATCCTGGGTGATGTATGCTCCTGAGCACGAAAGCTCTGGTTAATGAATAATGAAAGCGCGGAGGCAGATTCACACCACGGGGCTTCGCTCCTGCAGTCAGCTCTCGGGGGAGAGGTCCCTGTGCAGCTCGCGGTGCAACCGCGGTCACAGCCACGCGGCTGCAGCTAAAGCTGGCTAACCATGATAGAAATTAATCCAAAATACTAACGTAAAGCTTGACCCAGGTGGACAAAGGGATGAACTTCATCTTGTTCAGTCGAGCGAGGGGTTTGTGGGGCCAGCTCTGGTGATGTTCCTTCAGGTACCAGGAGCGCTCGCTCACATCCTGACTTACTGCACAGGTTCCCAGTTAACTGAACAAATAAACTGTTAAAAGCTGAGCCAACCTTGAGGGGGTCATATGGGTTTAAATTGCACCAGGAGGAGATTTATGGACTTGTTTTCCAAGCCTAGAGAGTAATTGAAGAGGCCTCAGACAGTCCAACATTTCCCCCGACTTTATTGGGGACGGGAGGGCTGGTGGGCACTGGATCGGGACTGGGCTTTGCTACAGAGCCCCAGCCATGGAGCAGGGACACAGAGTGACAGTCCCTCTAGGAACAGAAAGAAGCTTTGCAAACGCGGTGTGCTTGTAAGATAAGTATGGTGCTGATAAAGTAAAGCACAGGGAGATTAAAAAAATAAAGGGAACTATATTAGTAGCAGACTGATGAAATCCCGGGAATCCTGGCTCTCTCTTCCTTCACCTAGGCTTCAGATGAATCTGCCCAGAATTTGTGACCTTAGAGATGGTTTCTTGATGGCATCAAAAAAAAAAAACCCAACTTGGTGACCAGCTGGTCTGCTGCAGGAGGATAATTTAGTTATTCAGCCTGGGAGGAAAAGGAAATTAAGTGAAGGTGACAGAAGTGCGTTTACTTGGTTCTATTCCTCATGTGTTATGTTTGCTTTGTTTTCATTTAGGAATCTACAAAGGACATTGCTTCCGAATCAACCACTTCCCTGAGGACAATGACTACGACCATGACAGCTCAGAATACCTTCTCCGTAAGTAAGAAGTACTACCTGACACCTAGGATTAACAGACATAACCAGAGGTACTTTCCTGGGTTTCAGTTCGGTAGAATTCAACCCAAGACTTGACTCATTGCAAGAGACTGGCCCAAACTGGGTGGCACAGAGCAGTGATGACCTGTGCCCAGTTCACACTGCAGCTGACACTACCATGACCCTTGGGGACCCCAATTTGAAGAGTTTCCTTCAGCCAGGGGGTGCTCACGATGGTGCTGCCAATTCTCTAAACATTATGTGGAAAATTTTCAGAAGACTTACAGCTATCATTCCTAGATTAGCGAGAGTGTTTTACAAAGGGAGTATTTATCTGATTAGCGGATCAGAACAGGTTGGAGGAGCCTATTAGGAAGCTTTTCCTGATGCTTAAACCCAAGCAAGCCTCATCCTTTGCAGCTGCTGGGCCACCTCCTCCTGCAGTGAAATTACTGCACGGGAGAAAGGAAGCTGAAATTTCAGCAAAAGCTCAGCACGAACATGGGCTATGGCTTTGCTGCATGGACAGTCGGCCATTGCTGCTCCATGCTGGTGTGTAACTCACCACAGAAGTAATTTCATCCACCAGCCTGGTGCTTGAAATAAGGCTGAGGGGTTTTGTCTCCTCCGGATGACCCTTCGCTTGGCTGATAGGCAATCTTGGTGCCTGAGCGTGAAATTTCACAAATCCTACAAAGTTTGAGTTAGATTTCCCCTTCCCCAGAGGACACCTCACCTAGTTATTCCTTTTGAACACAAGAGCTGCCCAGCCAAGCTGAAAGCAATGCCCTTTACCAGAGAAAGAAACTGCAGTTCACAAGGTGTTGGGAAAGCTTCAGGGAGCAATGAAGGACGCTGCTGGCTGATACGCCCAGCAAGGCAAAACACCACAATTACACTACTATTAATTACCTGAAACACCACTTAAGGAACCACTCTGCCCTTCTGCTCCCTTCTGGGAAACAACTCCTTGTTGCTAAGACAAGAAGAAAAAAAAAAAAAAACCTTCCAAAAAGTACGCTTTGCCAGAAAACCCAGATTTTTTTTTTTTTTTCATCTTTGCTCTTGTCAATTTAGATCAGTCATAGAGCTTGGGTGACGTGATTTCAGCGCTCAGGCGAAGGCAGGCTAGCAGAGTGTGAGCACAGCTGCATTTATCTTTCATATAAAGCTTTGGAACTAATGTTAAATTGATGCCAAGTCAGCTTTAGGAAAGAAACATCATTAGTAAAAGGACCGTAAAGGAAAAAGGAATTAAGTAGCATCTTGATAAAAGCATATTATGCCTCCTTTATTTGGAGCAAAGGGAGAACGGGAAAACCAGTCTACAACTCCACAGTGATACGAGCTTGGTAAATGGTTTGTAAGTGTGCTTGTGATGGGTGTTCCTAAAAGCTGTTTTCAAAAGTGACTAAGTACAGACCTTAAACACAAGTTGGTGCAACCCTTGGTGTCTTCTGCACAACACCTGCTACCCGGTGGAGGAGAGCTCACCGTCCTCTGGTAACAGGACTCCTCTGCTTTAACTTTTATAAGAAAAACTGCAGCTCCACTTAAAATGCATATGGTTGATTTAGAGATTACTGAAAGGTTATGTACTTAAATCCAGAAGAGATGAGCTCATACGTGTATGTAATATGGACCAGATCATTGTCTAAGACAGGAGGATATTTGCATCCTGTTTCAAAGGAGACATGAGAACTTCTGTCCCATTTTTGTCCTCCATGCAACACTTCTGCAATCTGCCCTCTCCGTGCCATTCCCCCTGCTTTTTAGCCGATTTTTTTGGCACAAGTTTCTCAGACAGCCATGTTGGGGGTAACTCTTATTTTTCCCATCTGGCTTAGACGCAGGCAGCAGCACCGTGTGCAGCTTGTGCTCCGTGAAGAGCAGCACGAGGCACCGCAGCCTGCTCAGTCTTAACAGAGGCTTCAGACAAACGTAAGCATTAAGGTGCTAGCAGAATCTAGCCCTAGTTCAAACTGAAATCAGCAAAAGAAACCAACTGATTCTAAGAGACTTTATTCCAAGGTGAGGGTGGGAGCAAGGAGTTTGGAGTTTACCCTTTGGCATTCAGGCTGCTCCCCGCCAAATCAAGAGAGCAACAGCCACAGGGACAACCAACACGTGCTCTGGCTTCCTCCTCTCCTCCGTTTCTGCATTTCTGACAGACACCGAGCTGTGCCAGACCAGCATTGCACAAAGCACAGGCACTTTTTCCTTCACAGAAGAGGGAATTTCATCCTCGTGAGGATGTCAAGGCATCGCTGTGGTGTGGAAGCACACAAAGGCGGGGAGTCGGGACCCCGTTTTGGGGCCAGGTCTACGCTTCCGTGCGCTTCTTCCCCGCATGCTATAGCATCTCCCTGTTTTTTCAAAGCCATTTCCTTGGCTCCTGCTTTTTAGAGGAGAATAAAAGCAGGAGGAGAGCGCGGGGGCTCGCAGCCCCGTGGGGAGGAGCAGCACGGCACGCCGCGGCGTGTCACCGCGGGAGGTGTCACAAGGCATAGCCGTGCAGAGCAGCCGATGCGAACAGACAGGATGGTAAACAAGGAGAGGGGGAAAAAAAAAAAGCAGGGGAGAAAGCAAAAAGCAGATCGCCTTAATTTTTTCTGATGTGCTGTCATTTTATTACCAGTATCAGGAGACATATGTAAATTCTACATGGTACCTATGAGCTTCCTTTTAAGTTTCAGAGCTAAAAGTACACTTTGTAGGAAATAATATACTGTAGAGTTTTAAGAGGAAGAGCACACTGTGTTTGTTTCTCTTCACATTAATTACCTACTGTTAAAAAATTGTCTCTGGAGATTAACAGGTTGGATGGGGCTTTGAACAACCTGATCTAGTGGGAGATGTCCCTACCCATGGCAGGGGGTTGGAATCAGATGGTCTTTAAGGTCCCTTCCAAACCAAGCCATTCCATTCCATGACTCTGTAATTCTATGATCAATTGCTACAAGTAGAACAACCCACCCCCTGGATTTGGCATGTCTGGCAAGTTCCTTCTGATGCTATCGCTGAAACATTTTAGGAATGCTCTTTGAATTAACTGAAATTGTTATAAACATCATGACCATAAAACATAGGAAAAAAGAACCAGAAAGGGTGAGCCACAGAAGATTCTAAGCCCATGCTGCTCTTGTACAGGACACTGACAGACAGGCAGTGCTTTGGGGTGCCTTCATGTCCAGCAGCACAGAGACTGGCGGTGAATCTTCTTCTAACAGTTGACTCCAGAAAACTGACCCAAAAGCCGAAGCACTTTTACTTCGTGCCACACGCGTGGGGATACGCCCAGGACAACAGAACAGGCTCTCAGCGGGCTTTGATTAGAAACCTTACACCCTCGTCACTTGGATTTGCCAATTATTGCAAGACATCATCTGAATAGTAAAGGATCCAGCTGAATTGGGGTTAGATCCCGTTAGAAAATGCTCCATCTGTAAAGGACACGTGGAGCGAAGCTGCCAGCTTTGGTGGGAGACAGACTTTTCTCGCTGTTGCAGATCGATACCGGCATCAGCTTCCTGGGCAGGGATTGGTTTTTTTGGTTTGCATTCACACCATCCTAATGCCAGGGCTCGCAGGGGCTTTGCAGCACACACAAAAGCCATGCTGGTATCAAATGCCCAGTCCTGTCCCTCTTGTAAGTCAGTGGGAATTTTGCCACCAGTTACCAGGGGAATCGTTAGGAAGCGATTCACTGAACTGGGAACGCCACGGCCATCAAAAGCGAAATGAGAAGGCATCCGCTGTAGCATCTGGCCATTTCTCCTCAGGATACAGGCGCCGCTTGCCACGCGTGTCAGCCGGGGAGATGGCACCCGGGAGAGCCCGCGTCCCTCGTGGCCCTGCGTCAGCAGCTTGGCCCAGATGGCTGCTCTCTCCTCTCCCAACACTCAGCCCCCTGGGGGTGCCCGTGCCCTCCCCCTGTGCCGTGGGGTTTGCACCCCTTTGTGCCAGCAGCCTCTGACCCTGCTCCTGGGGCAGCCCCTCGCCCGCTCACCCTGCCGGGACTCCCCCCAGCATTCAGCACTTTCTCTCCCCTTCTTCAGAAAAATCTTCTCTCTATAACAGTAAAGCTCAATTCCTCGCTCTGCCTTTCAGGAACACGTACCAGCTTCTGCCCCTTTGGTTTTTACAATGCAGACATCTTTCTTTTGACGATTGTTTATTTCTTTCTCAGCCCTTTTTTCCCTCCCTGCTTCTTCCCCTTCAATCGCTGCTTAGTCTTGTAGTGACCCCGACTTTGAAAGCTAGCTTGAAATGGTGTTTTAAATTTTTTTTTCAGGGATTTTATAGCCCCTGCTGGTGAATGGACAGAAGCAGACAGAATTTTAAATGACTGTACTTAGCTGTCAGGAAACTAAAAACAAACATCTGAGACACACTTGTTAAAATTTTTTCCTTAGAAATCTGAAAGGTTTCAATGTCCTTAATATTCAACAAAAAGAAGAAGGGGTTATTAACTATGCCCATTTGGCAACACAGATGCTGCAGACATCCAGAGCTGAAATCGCTCACCTCGCACAGGCACCAAGGAACAGATCTGCTGCTTGAGCCATCCCCAGACGTTGGAGGGTTCGTAGCCAGCTCATGAATTTTTCACTGCCGCTCCCTGCGTGATGCTGGGTCTTGCCGTCACTTACCTCATGCTTTGCCAGAAATGTTCTGTACACTGTTGCATCAGATAATGGCGATAACGCTGGATTTTCTAGGAGAAAGCTCAAAAGATTTACTCAGTGTAGAGAGTTTCTGTGCCACGTTAGCCACCTTGGCTCCCAAAAACTTGCCCAGAAATGCCGAATCAGTGAAAATTCCAGCAAAAGCCAGGGGTTTAGAGACTTCATAATCTCCACATTTGCACCTGAGGAGGCATCTGAAATGATTACTGTCTGCCTGGGTTTTCTACCTGTCTCCCCTCCAGGCATCGTCCGTGCCTCCAGCGTGTTCCCCATCCTAAGCACAATATTGCTGTTGCTGGGAGGACTCTGTGTCGGAGCGGGAAGGATTTACAACAGCAAAAACAACATTATTCTCAGCGCTGGGATTCTCTTTGTTGCAGCAGGTATGTTCTCCTTAAATTGAATCCTTAAAAAGTGCTGCCTTTTTAAAACTGGAAAGGACTGGGGAGAAGCGGTTCTCTCCCGGTCCCCTTTCCTGGATCAAGGGCACTAGAAACATCACATCAGGAAAATTTCTTGAGACAAAAATACGGTTTTGAAGCTCCACAAGCAGTATATTCTAGAAAAGCTTTTAGTTCTCCCGAAAAAGGGAAGCTAAAGTCAGTAACAAGCAGGTTTTACATTACTTAAAATGTGTTAAACATCAGTTGAATCAGGCAGTTCTTACATCCAGGGCTTTTTTCCTTTCTTTTATATGATGGCAGAAAAACTCACCCATGATAGGTGAGCCCGTTTTTCACACTAGAAACATCTGAGAGAGTCAGCCACATTGTTAATGGCTTTCCCTGAAGCTCAGATTAAGCGTGCTGCATGCAGTTGAAAATTCAGCAAGGTGGAAGAGAACTCATCTTGATCAAGGTGAACAGCCATAGCCCTGAGCTCAGAATGTATTTTTATTACTATTCTGAATGTTAGAATCCCACTAACAGTATTAGCGACCTCCCGTTCGCTACTGCTTTTCCACCGTGGCAATGAAGAGA